CAAACCATCATCACGGTATAACCCGAAATCATTCTTATTGTAAAACTGTGTAATCTGAAATAAAAGAAAAATCCCCACAAGTTCACACACTTCGGCGCCATCAAATGCTCCCATCGAAACATCGAATAATCCAAACTTCTTAATCCAAATTGATTGCTATCAAACAACAGTGACTTTCTGGCGTGGTAAATAATCGATTTTTGCTCAGGATCTATAATCATATCAATTTTTAATTACAATCTTTCTTACCAACCTAACTTAAGATTATCTCACACTAAGAACCGTAAACGTAACATCATTTGGTTCAACCCGCCTCTTAGCAAAAACGTCAGCACGAATATAGGAAAAATATTTTTAACATTAATTGATAAGCACTTCCCTAAAAATCACAAGTTGCACAAAATTTTTAACAGAAACACATTAAAAGTAAGTTATAGCTGTATGCCTAATATGAAATCCGTTTTAAACGCCCACAATCACCATGTCATAAACAACAAGAAAGAATCAGCTGAAAATAATTGCAATTGCATAGATAAAAACACCTGCCCTTTATCAAACCAATGCTTAACAAAAAATATAGTATATCAAGCTAATGTATGCTCAAACAATCTTGTTCAATCTCCCATCAATAAATTTTACATTGGCATAAGCGAAACATCTTTTAAAATTAGATATGCTAACCACATTAAATCTTTTAAAATTCCCAAATACAAAAATGACACTGAATTATCAAAGGAGGTTTGGAGATTAAAAGATGAAAACTTAAACCCGGTTGTTAGGTCGAAAATAATTAAACAGTGCGATGCCTATAACCCTGTAACAAAACGATGTAACTTATGCTTAAACGAAAAGTACGAAATTTTATTTTTTAAACACCCAAATTTGTTAAATAAAAAGAGTGAAATATTATCTAAGTGCCGGCATAAAAACAAATTTCTTCTTGCCCAATTTGACACTGGTGATTAGCAGTTTTACAACTATGCTTCTTTTTTATTCAGTTTTTTATTCGTTTTGTTTTGACGTCAGAACTCATTATACTGCTTTTTTTGTATTTTGTATTTTTTAACGGTTTTTTCTTGATTTGTATAATATATATGGCTGAAGATTGCCGATAGGCATGAAACTTTTAGTTCCATTATAAAGTTGTATTTTTCTATTTAATTACACTTTATTTATATATATATATTGATCTATTTTGTAAAAATTATTTTTACATTATATTGATCACTCTCAAGTAAACAAGAGGATTTGTATCTCAACCAGATACAATAATAAACAACAATATATATATATATATATATATATATATATATGTATATATATATATATATATATATATATATATATATATATATATACATATATATATATATATATATATATATATATATATATATATATATATATATATATATATATATATATATATATATATATATATATATATATATATATATATATATATATATATATATATGGATCAATAATAGACATTGTCGTTGTTAAACCAATGTAAAAGAATAAACTATTAATATATACTCTTATATATTTTCACTTGTAGAACTTTTCAAAAGTTTTCAAATGTTTTAACTTGACATTTAAACAACTCTTAATTTAATAAATAATAGCACATAAAGAATCAAACATAAAAATAAAAATACATACATATAACATAATACATAATTAATTAATAATAAATAATTAAATTAATTATTAAATAAACATAATTAATTTATTTAAGATTATATGTTTAATTATATAATTTATTTATTATAAGTTTAATAATTTTTTTTTTACTTTTTGTTAAATATGATTGTAAAATGTGCACATAAAGTACGTGCCAAATCTTATCACTTTTGCTTTTGTTATAAAAAAAACAAAGTTTAATTATTGTAAAACAGAAAAAGCTTTTTTTTTTTAATTTGTAAGTTGCATGCTAACTGGAAAAACTTTGTCACAATGTGGTTATATGTAACAAAGCTCAACAGATAATCTTAGTTAAAGTTAGACAAAAATAAGCCCTAGTCTTTGTGGGCAAACATGTTTTGCAGTAACTATTGGCTCTATTTTATTCTGTATTCCAACAATAATATGTTGATTTTTTTTTTGGCTTTAAAACAAAATATCAACTAAAGCATAAATATTTTTTCATAAATAGTTTTTGCTGAAAAAACAGTTTTCCTGCCTTAATGTTTAAATGTATATATATATATATATATATATATATATATATATATATATATATTTATATATATATATTTATATATATATTTATATATATTTATTTATATATATTTATATATATATATATATTTATATATATTTATATATATATATTTATATATATATATTTATATATATTTATATATATATATTTATATATATATATATTTATATATATCAGGGGCTTTTTTAGAAAAATAATTTGGGTAAAGTACCCCCTTGCGGGCGCCTTACTGTAAGGAAATTTGCAGTGTGTTTATATATATATATATATATATATATATATATATATATATATATATATATATATATATATATATATATATATATATATATATATATATATATATATATTTATATATATATATTTATATATACTTATATATATATATATATATATATATATATATATATATATATATATATATATGTATATATATATATATTATTTTTATATTTTACATAAAGCAACAACATCTTGTTTCTTGATACCTTATTGTTTATCAAGTTAAATTGAAAGTTTTCAAAATAAAAAAACAGGAACAAAATATTAGTAATTTAAGAGATTGCAGAACAAAGTATAACCAAATGTCACAATAAAAAACTCAGCTTTCTCATCTTTTTTGAGAAAGAAAAACTCATCAACTCTACGATACACAAGGATGCTATGCATTAAGTCACGGAAAAAGAACTTAATAAGGTTGCCATAACCACCAACCACTGGACATCTAGGGAAAAAAAGCTATACATGTCTGTTTCATTAAATTATATCCTGGCAAACTTTGCCCTTAACAATAATTCACTAATTCAATAAAACAATAATTTAAATAAATGATAGTGTGTCTATTCAAAAAGAGACACATTTGTGTTAATATCGCATAAGCAATCAACATACTCTCATCTACTGACAACACACTTTAATTTCTTGAATCATAAAAAAAAGTACCTAATAAACTGTGTTATTGATCAGGCATCAAATATGACATGTGGTCTAAACAACAACAACTCGTAACTCATGCGGTGAAACATGCAGTGATCACAAACTCAACACTGCACTGCAATGGAGGGTACCCAGAAATTTAAAGATGTTTCTCCTAAATCCAGCTTCCTCACTACCATGCTTTAAAAATTGACAACCTTCCAAGTACTTCATTGAAAGATGCTTGTTCTATTTTAGATATAAATTACCTCAAAATACCCTCCACAGTAACCATAAGATGACTAAGTCATTATAATATGTTGCTTTGACTGAACGTTCCACTCCATGATACAAAAGGTAGCGATTGCAAAAAAACTGTATCTACAGATGTAGTTCCTACTCTTTGATGTTATTGTTCAATTGCTAAAATCAGTTTAAGAATTATTAGTTTTTTATCAGAATTATCCAAAATGACATGCTGCCACAGAAAGTAGCAGCACTTTTAACTTTATCAAAAAAGAAAAAAGTATCCATTTTACTCAAGAAAGCAATCAATCAGTTGAGAAATTCATGAATGACTTTTTATTAGATCTAAATAAGAGATTTTCAGACTTGAGGCTGAGTTTGCATTAGGTCATTACCTCCATTCATTATTCTGAATACATCTTGATGTTGATGAAAATATTAAGGCTATTCCTTTTGAATATTTTCCTCGTAATCCTATAACCTAAAGAATACTTTAAAAAATCTTCATTATCAGCCTCAAGCTCAAAAAGTAATGCTGAAAAATATAAATATAACTTAGCGAAGGATAAGGACACTACCTTGCATCACATGGAAGTTCACCTATCAAATTGGAAATTGATAATAATCCAAAAAATGAGAATATTTAAAATGGAAGTTATATCAACACTTAAGCATGGTAGAAACAGCATGTAATTGAACAGCCTATCCTTTCAGGTAATGCAAGGTCCTGGTTGGCAATTCCACCAACCTCTGTATCATCTAAAAGGGTGTTAATTAATTTTATTTTTAAAGTTTTTTAAAGTTTTATTATTTTTAGGTGATGGGCACTTTTTTAATAATTTGATTTTATAAAAAACATTGTTTGAACTTTACAAGCATAAAAAATTGTTTTTGAATTAATTTTTTTTTTTTCCATCTTTTTGTCCTTTTTAATCAAATATTTATTTTTAACTTTATTTTCATTTTTTAAAAGCTTGGTTATTTGTTGAAACTGTGTTCAGTATTAAATAGTTTTTTTTTTTATTTTTTGGGTACCCCAATAGTTAAGTGTTGATACCAGTTGAGCTAAGACCAGTTAATAGACTAAGATTTTGATCTTCAAGACCTAAACTAAAATAGCAAATCTTCCTAAACAGAAGATTCTAATTAATCTAATCCTAATTTAGATCAAAGATCTACAATTAAAAATTTAAACAAAATAAGAAAAAAAATTATGATTGTTTGAAGGATTTTCAAATATACAGTTCAGCAATCTGTGCTTGAACTGATTTAAGTTTTTGTTTTCATGTCAAGTTAAGAGCAAGTTATAACAACCTATTTTTAAATGAGCCATCTTCATATTTTTAGTAACCCTCTCAGCCTTGGGAAAGTGAATATATTTATGTTTACATTATTATAATTAAATTAAAAAAATTAAAATTTTGTTTTATTATTAAAGCATAGTAATTTTGATTATTTTATTATTTTTACAAATAAAATGAAGTTATGAATAAAATATAAATTATTTATTAAATTTGTGTTACTTATTTTTATTTGTTTTTGTGGAATTTTAAAATAATAAAAATTAATTTGTAAAAAAATTACTTTTTATTGTTTAAAATAATTTTTCCAGCCCAACATTTTTGTATAATTTGTGGCAACTCCTCTTCTTGCTATTGTAAAAACTGTGTATGTGAATTTGGTTGGAACAATGTGTATACTTACTTGTGTCAAAAATGTTCGAATATTGTTCATAGCCATAATAAAAGGCATGATCATGAATTGGTTGAACTAAGTTCTTTTTCACCCAATGTTTCTGAACCTTTTGTACCAAACACAAAGGCTTTGACAACCATGGAACTGTTTGCTGTTATTTGTATTAAAACAAGTCATTATGTATCATTTGTAAAGTGTGGTGAAGGAGATGAAGCAAGCTGGGTTTTCTTTGACAGCATGGCTGACAGACATGGTGAGAACTTATTTTTTAAAATTTGTTATTATTATTATTATTATTATTAAGTGCACAAGGCACACACACACACACACGCACTCACAAACATACATATATGAATGCAGCAACAAACTATTTTGTTGTTGCATTCATTTAGTTGTCTGTTAATATTTTAATGAGTTTTTTGAGTATTTTTATTTTGAATTTAAATGCATGACAAAAAAATTTGTTATTTATAATGGCAGTTACATTGGAAAGCATTATTTTTTCTGATTCAATGCAAACCATTGAATGCACTTTGTTATTTTTTTGATAAATAATTTTATGATGAAATTGTTTTAAAATGAAGAAAAAATTATAAATATTATTATTAAAAAGAATAACTTATTCAAAATTAGGGTTTGTAAAAACCCGAAAATTTATATTCCTGGGTTTTGCAATTGTATAACTAATTCCCGAAACTTCCCAGGAAATCTTGACACTATTTTATGCTTTAAAACTAAAAGAAAAGTCATAATTTAATTAAGCTTATTGCAGCAAAATGAAATAAAATTGTACAAATGTCATTATTTCTTATTTTATTCCTGTCCTGCAGAGGAAAATGCCATTTCTGACTCTACGCTTGTTGGTTTTATTGTTATTAAGAAACCATAAACTTTCACCCTAAGTACAACCACTTTCAAACGATGACATTTCTTTTGATAATTTAGAAGTTAAGAATTTCTGGTTGTTGCAGACTTGCCCAAAATGGTCTACAATAGCCTCTAGCAAATGTGATCAATCGCTATTGCTGACCACGCAAATGATATTATTTTTTGACAACTTCACCATGACTGTTTAAATGTTTAAAAAAAATTTTTTTAACATTTTAGAAATGCGCTGAAAAAAGAAATTCTAGCTAAACTTAAACTAGGAAAAAAATTTTAAAAAATAATAATGAAAAAAGAAAACAATTCCTTACAAAAAAGAAAATATATAAGCACTAAAGCAAAACTCAAAAAAGCGAAAATTACTTTTTGTTACGTTTTTAATTGTGTTTAAAATAAATTTATCTTTGAAAGGTTTTATTAAAACTATGCAAAATGATTTTATAAATTACTTTTATTGACTGTTTAGTAAATGAACAAATTTTATTTAAATTACTAGAAAGTGTTTCATGTATTGTTTTTAAATTGTATAAACATATATTTTTTCCAAAAAAATGTAAAAAATATATATATATATAAAATATTGTCATCTATTTAAAATAGTACTTTTTTATTGTTTCATGCTCTTATTAGCTAGTCAAATTTAAAAAAAAAAGTTTTAAACAGTTCTTTGTAAAAATAAAAACAAAAAAAATAAAGCAATTAAATCATTCCATTGCAACATAAAACTTAATTTCAACTTTTTCATAATTTAAAGTAACTTAAAAAATCACATTTTTAAAGATTTTTAGAAAGACATGGAGAAATAGTTTCAAACAAATTATTATACTTAAATTTATCATAAAACATGTCTACATAATATAAAATTAAATATAACATTAGTTAATTTATAATGTAATCTAAATAATAATAAAATTGTAAGCTATTACGCTATGTGTTCATATTGCTTATGTATGATATTTATTAATTCAAACAAAAATTTATCATGCATCTATAAATAGTCACATGCTGGTGACTATTTATATCAATAGAAAGTTGAAAATTAAATATGAAATTCATATCACATGTTGATTATTTGTTATTTCATTTATCCTTGGTTTTGTGTCATTGATGTGTTCTTCAGAGGTATGATAACTGACATTACAATAATAGTTATTGTTGGCCAGGGTATAATGAACATTTACTGAAAAATTAGCTTTTTAGTTTCAAAATCGGCGAAGATATGATTTTTGCTTCAAAAGTGACATTTCTGGAACACTGTGTGTTGCTAGAAAACCTTTTTCTAGGGCTTAATTTAGTTGCTCACTAATAGTTTTCGCTGTTTCATTATCTGTGCTTTTTCATTATCTGTGCTTCATTTTTTTCACTTACTAAATATTCAACGTTGTCCAAGGGACAACGTTGAATATTTAAATTAGACCATTTAAGTTTAATACGTTTAATCTATTTAGAAGCTTCAACATTATTTTTTTATTTTTAAAATGTATTATATAAAATTATATCAAAAGATGTTTCAAAAACTTCACCTATAGGCATTAATTTATTTTCTCTGTAATGTAGATAGTGCAGTAGAATACTTAATTCAGTCCTTCGCTCTTTGAATGGCTAATGCATTAAATAGTTGTCAACTTGTTGAAGTATTTTAGTTTAGCATAAACTCTAACGCAAAGTTAACAAGGTAAATAACAATTTCAAAGTTAACAAGGTAAATAACAATTTCATTCTCATTATCTTACATTTTTTTAGAATCATTTATACTGATATCAACAAGCGCCTTTTTATGCAATTTTTTAACTTATGAAAATTTTCAAGCATTGATATTGCTCCATTTCATATTACAATCTTTTATTAAATGAAGGTTTTTTCCAAAGTTATTTTTTACGTATTGAATACAGTCACCATTTTTATTTATTGATCTTTTAAAAACGAACAACGAAAACAAACTTTATTAATCACAGGACCAATTGCTTTGCTTGTAATTATTATGTCTTCAATTATTTGATAAAATTGTTTTATTATACAATTATTCCTCTATAAAGCAACTCTCATCACCATCATCGCATCTGATTCACAGCTTTCTCTAAATTTAGATTCATTTTCCAAATTTTAAATTTGGTCATCAACTTCCTTGATTAAATGTCTCTGTGTACGATTTAATGCAGACTTATTATATAAAACTGAAATAATAGCCAGTTAAATACTGTGATCAAATTATAGTTGTTGATTATTATGTAATATTTTTCCAATTTTTCAACACATTGCTGTTTTACTTTCTTTGTTGCACAGAAAATATTTCCATATAGGGGTTTCGCTGTTGAACTCTATGAAATTTGATATGGTATCCTAATTTGACGAATCAAAGAAAATATAAGAATTTATTGACTATTTTAACTTTCTTATTAAGTGGAATTTTTAAAGTTCAATAAATTTTAGTAAATACACTATTATAATACTAAATCTATTATTACAAAAAGATAGTATAAATCAATACAAATAAATTTTTTTTCCCATTATTGTTATTATTGTTTTATTATTTATATTATTATTATAATTTTATTTTAATAGTTAAAATTTTTCTAATAAACGAGCCAGTTATGCTCACAATATTTAAGATTAATTAAACTTACTTTAAACTTATATATCAATAATGAAAACATTGCATTGCTTTGGTAATAAATTTTATAGCTTTGTTGTTACTTTTGTTTTATTTTACACAATTTAAACACAGTTGTTAATCAGAAAATGCAGATATTATTCGTAGTTTTATAATTTCTAAATCTCGGGATATTCTGAAAATAATATCAGGAATTTGGGGTTATAAAATTAGACAGGATCCCAGGATTCCGGGATCCAGGGATCCGGGATTGCAAACAAATGAATAAACTTTTGTATGAGTTTTTTATTATTCTTTTTCACATTTCGATTCTTACTTTTCAAAAATATTTTTTCAATCTTATGTCAAGATGTCAAGATCAAACAGTAAAGCTATTTGTTGCAGTTGCTTTTTTCATCTATTAAATTTTCATTTTGTTATTAGTTAAAAAATTGTTTCAAATCTATCGCTGTAGTATTTTTGTTATAGCAATTAGTCAAATTTTATAAATATACATTGTGTTTTTGTTTTGAATTTATATTCATACTTTTAATTCCTAAATGTTAAGAAAAGTTAGAAGTTTGTATTGTACATATGTAAATGCAATATGTAAAGTTTGTATTGTACATCTTTTGTTTAGAAAATAAATATATAAAAACAATGTCAAAACAATTTTACTTTGCAAAGATTTTTTAAATAAAACACTTTCTGCTGATTGGTTTTGTTTAAAAAAAAAATCAATTATCTTGCACAGGCAATGTGTTCTGTTTGTCGAAAAACATTTGATTTAAGTAACATGGTCATTCTGGCAGTAAAAAGTCATGAAAGAAGTAAAATGATTGTCAATAATGTTAGTTTGTAAAAAAAACAGTTGCTAATCTATTTTTTATTTAGTAAGCATCAAACCCAATAATTAGCTTTAAACAGTATTTTAAAAGATCAATTAAGAACAGTATTATTCCAAAATAGTTCATGTGCATTGAGTTATAAGTCCTGAAAAAAGCGTTCAGAAAACAGTTGATAGCTATCCTATACAAGATGAAGTCACAAAAGCAGAAATTAACTGGGCTTTAGGAGTTGTATCCCTCCATGAAAAAAAAAACATTTCAATAAATGTTTCCTGACAGTGAAATAGCTGAGCAGTTCAAGCTTGGAAAGGCAGAGATTGTCTATAACATAACTTATGGTATTTCCCCCTACTTCCATGATATTTTCTGCTTTCAGGATATATTAGTGCGCTTTTGGGATTTTCAGAAATATAAAGCTATTACTCTTTACTTTCATCTGCTTTTTTGGGGCAAATAATAATTAACTGAAAGACTTAATGCAGAGATTGGGGACATGTTATTGCCAAAATTAGTTCTATTAATTTCATTTCTAAATTTTTATGGATGGACCCATAAAAATGTGACCCATAAAGATGTTTACCAGTGTGAACTGGAAATTTTTTGATGCTCTATAAGAAAGTCATTTAGCTAAATTTAATATTATTTAATTAATATCAGATTATGTGACCTCCATGTAATTCACGGGGCATTTCAGAAGAGGGAACAAAGAAGCTGGTTAGAAAGTTAATTTGGAATTAAGTTCCTTATAAAGAATTTTTAAAGATAATCCTACTTGCAGAGCAGTCTGTTTAGCAATAAACAATGGTAAAGCAGAGTTTCCTTTAAAATTTTGTACAATGCGGTGCGGTGGGTGGAAAATGCTGCGGTTGCAGAGATAGCTCTTGAAATTTTTAATTATGTGAAAACTTTAGTAGAAAGGTCAAAACGATG